ATATTACAAAACTACAGATTAGTGACATTTTATTTAGAAAATAATACAAAATTATTTCAAATTGAAAATTGATTCAGTTTTTTTTATCATTAACAAKAATTTGTTAAATAAAAAGTTTATTTTGTGTTAAATGAATGGGAGTGCATTAATACTGACACATAATTAACTTTGAATTACCTAAATGTCTTTCTAAACAGAAATGAATAAAACGTGAATTCAAATAGGCTTTAATGAAATTTTTTTAATTAAACTGACCTTCTTCTTCTGTGGTGTTAATAAATCCCTTAAGTTCAGCGTTGAAATTCATCCTAATCGATCCGCTGCGTGCACGCGCTCAGCACGCACGGCTCGTGAACCCGTCCACGTGAACACAAAGAAAGGAAGGTGCTGATGAGTTCACCTGAGCATGCTCGTGTGAGCGCGTGCGCAGCACAGAACCACATTCAAACGATCCGAGGTCCAAAACATSAGAAAAACACGAAGAAGAAGAAAAGTAGAAGCTTCCTTCAGAGCGCAGTTCTGTCCTCCTCCTGTTCGTCTGCTCCTCCGTCCTCCTCTTCAGTCCTCCCTCTCCTCCACGCGGACCCCCTCTCTGTTCTGTAGCCGCTAACGCGCTCCAGGATCAAATTTCACCAAATTATGAATTGCATTTCCGGTTCTGGCCTTTCAAAATAAAACCAATTTGGCACAAATTGGGCAAATTTAAAATAAGATATTTATTGCAGATACTAATTTTCAGCAGAAATATTTATTACCTTCAATAAGGAGGTTGTGTTTCCTGTAACCTCTGATTATTTGTTTGAGGCACAAGATTACAGAAAAAACATATTGATGGATTTTCATGAAATTTTAGGGAATCGTCAAAAAGAACTGAATAAATTTTCGTGATGATCTGGCAACATCTGCCAGAGCTGCAGCTCACCTTTTGTCACAAACACAATCTGAAACCTAAAACAGAACACAGAGTCAAAGGCTTATTTGTACTGATGATGTCATACAGGAACATGTGGTCCTCACTCACTTAAAGGACATCACAAACCAGACCCACTTCAGTCCCCATACTGTCATAACAGAGTACGCACTTTCTCCATCTCACCATAAAACACCTTGAACATCAAAGGACATATGCAAGGATCCTGTTTTTGGACTACAACTCCACCTTAAATGCCATCCCAGGACAGCTCAATAACAAAACTGTCCCAGCTAAACAAGCCAACCCCCATCTCCCAGTGGATCACCAGCTCCCTCATTGGTAGAGAGCAGCAGGTGAGGCTCGGGAAGCTCACCTCAGACACCCAAATCACCAATACAGGTTCCCATTGTGTACTCTCCCCATTGCTCTTCTCTTTTTTATTATTTATTATTTTTCATTTGGAAATGTATCCATTTCATTAAAAAACAACTATAT